TCTACGCTAGGAAGCTGGCTACTAGGCCAGGCTAGGGGGCTGGCTGGTAGGCTAGGCTAGGGAGCTGGCTGGTAGGCTAGTCTACGCTAGGGAGCTGGCTACTAGGCCAGGCTAGGGGGCTGGCTGGTAGTCCTGGCTAGGGAGCTGGCTGCTAGGCCAGGTTAGGAGGCTGGCTGGTAGTCCTGGCTAGGAGGCTGGCTGGTAGTCCTGGCTAGGGAGCTGGCTGCTAGGCCAGGCTAGGAGGCTGGCTGGTAGTCCTGGCTAGGGGGCTGGCTGGTAGTCCTGGCTAGGAGGCTGGCTGGTAGTCCTGGCTAGGAGGCTGGCTGGTAGTCCTGGCTAGGAGGCTGGCTGGTAGTCCTGGCTAGGAGGCTGGCTGGTAGTCCTGGCTAGGAGGCTGGCTGGTAGTCCTGGCTTGGAGGCTGGCTGGTAGTCCTGGCTAGGGAGCTGGCTGCTAGGCCAGGCTAGGAGGCTGGCTGGTAGTCCTGGCTAGGAGGCTGGCTGGTAGTCCTGGCTAGGGAGCTGGCTGCTAGGCCAGGCTAGGAGGCTGGCTGGTAGTCCTGGCTAGGGGGCTGGCTGGTAGTCCTGGCTAGGGAGCTGGCTGCTAGGCCAGGCTAGGAGGCTGGCTGGTAGTCCTGGCTAGGAGGCTGGCTGGTAGTCCTGGCTAGGGAGCTGGCTGCTAGGCCAGGCTAGGAGGCTGGCTGGTAGTCCTGGCTAGGGGGCTGGCTGGTAGTCCTGGCTAGGGGGCTGGCTGGTAGTCCTGGCTAGGGGGCTGGCTGGTAGTCCTGGCTAGGGGGCTGGCTGGTAGACCTGGCTAGGGGGCTGGCTGGTAGTCCTGGCTAGGGGGCTGGCTGGTAGTCCTGGCTAGGAGGCTGGCTGGTAGTCCTGGCTAGGGAGCTGGCTGCTAGGCCAGGCTAGGGGGCTGGCTGGTAGTCCTGGCTAGGGGGCTGGCTGGTAGTCCTGGCTAGGAGGCTGGCTGGTAGTCCTGGCTAGGAGGCTGGCTGTTAGTCCTGGCTAGGAGGCTGGCTGGTAGTCCTGGCTAGGGGGCTGGCTGGTAGTCCTGGCTAGGAGGCTGGCTGGTAGTCCTGGCTAGGAGGCTGGCTGGTAGTCCTGGCTAGGGGGCTGGCTGGTAGTCCTGGCTAGGAGGCTGGCTGGTAGTCCTGGCTAGGGAGCTGGCTGCTAGGCCAGGCTAGGAGGCTGGCTGGTAGTCCTGGCTAGGGGGCTGGCTGGTAGTCCTGGCTAGGGATCTGGCTGCTAGGCCAGGCTAGGAGGCTGGCTGGTAGTCCTGGCTAGGGGGCTGGCTGGTAGTCCTGGCTAGGGAGCTGGCTGCTAGGCCAGGCTAGGAGGCTGGCTGGTAGTCCTGGCTAGGGGGCTGGCTGGTAGTCCTGGCTAGGAGGCTGGCTGGTAGTCCTGGCTAGGGGGCTGGCTGGTAGTCCTGGCTAGGGGGCTGGCTGGATAGCTCACCGTACCAAGGTGGCGTCAACATGTCTAAATTCATCACCTCGCATCGTCTACATCCTCTCATCTACGTCGTTCAAATTCATCCCAGCGCACTACAAGACACGTAGGACTAATGCGACATTTCTATCGTGGCAACGTTTCGCTCTCCGGAGCTTAGTCAAGCCTCACTAAGTGAAGTGTCTTATGTAGTCATCAGCACACCTTGTGCAACCCTACCTGGGGAAGTGTGTGGGGGGGACAGGAATGGGGGTGGATGGGGGAGGAAAGGGAGAGAGGGATGTGAGAGAGGGATGGGAGAGAGGGATGGGAGAGAGGGATGGGAGAGAGGGATGGGAGAGAGGGATGGAAGAGAGGGATGGGAGAGGGGATGGAAGAGAAGGAAAGGAGAGGTATCATCCCAATCCAAGTTTTGCTGCTAATTGCTCAACCATCGCAAAGTTTGCAACAAGAACACAAGTCACTCGATCAACCTGCAATTAACCTAGCTCTTCCCCTCCTCCCTTCTCTCTCTCTCCCCACATCCCCCTCCCCTACTCTCTCTGCTCCCTATCTTCCCTCTGATCCCTCCCTCCCTCCCTCCCTCTCTCCCTCCCTCCTCCCTCCCTCCCTCCCTCCCTCCCTCCCTCCCTCCTCTCCCTCCCCTCCCTCCTCCTCCCTCCTCCTCTCTCCCTCCCTCCCTCCCTCCCTCCCTCCATCTTCCATCAATGTGTTTACGTCAAGTGTTATGGAAAGTTATTTGTGTATCTCAATTCATTTGTTGGAAACTTTTATTGAAATATATAAACTGTGTGTGTGTGTGTGTGTGTGTGTGTGTGTGTGTGTGTGTGTGTGTGTGTGTGTGTGTGTGTGTGTGTGTGTGTGTGTGTGTGTGTGTGTGTGTGTGTTGTGTGTGTGTGTGGTGTGTGTGTGTGTGTACTCACCTAATTGTGGTTGCAGGGGTCGATTCATAGCTCCTGGCTCACCTCTTCACTGGTAGCTACTAGGTCCTAGACTATATTCTGTCTACATCCATTCTTTGACCTTCCCCGATCTTCATGAATGCACTGGGTGGGTTAAACTCCAGAAGCCAGTTGCTGGACCAGGCTTGCAGCCTGTCCAGATCCCTTTGTAGTCCTGCTTGATCCTCATCCGATTGAATTCTCCTCATTAGCTTCACATCGTCTGCAAACAGGGACACTTTTGAGTCTATTCCATCCGTCATGTCATTCACATATACCAGAAACAGCACGAGACTTGGGAGTGATAATGTCAGAGGATCTCGCCGTCGAAGACCACAGCAATGTATCTACCGCATCTGTTAGAAAAACGATAGGATGAATAATGAGAACCTTCAAAACTAGGGACGCCAAGCCCATGATGATTCTCTTCAAATCGCTTCTTCTCTCTAGGCTGGAATATTGCTGTACACAAACTGCCCCCTTCAAGCCAGGCGAAACTGCTGACCTGGATAGTGCACAAAGAACTTTCACAGCACACATAAGTACGATAAGGCACCTAAATTACTGGGAACGGTTGAAGTCCCTTGATTTGTATTCCTGGGAATGCAGGCGATAGAGATACTTGATAATATACACTTGGAAAATCCTAGAGGGATTAGTACCAAACTTGCACACGAAAATCACTCCATATGAAAGCAAAAGACTCGGCAACAGATGCAACATTACCCCATTGAAAAGCAGGGGCGCCACGAGTACACTGAGAGACAACACAGTAAGTGTCAGGGGCCCAAGACTGTTCAACTGCCTCCAAACATACATAAGGGGGATTACCAATAGACCCCTGGCTGCCTTCAAGAGGGAACTAGACAGGCACCTAAAGTCAGTACCTGACCAGCCGAGCTGTGGTTCATACGTCAGTTTGCGTGCGGCCAGCAGTAACAGCCCGGTTGATCAGACCCTGATCCACTACGAGGCCTGGTCTCAGACCGGGCCGTGAGGCGTTGACCCCCGAAACCTTCTCCAGGTATACTCCAGGTAGTGCTAGGACTGACCCCTGTGGAACCCCGTTGGTCACAGGCGCCCACTCTGACACCTCATCACGTGCCATGACTCGTTGTTGCCTCCCTGTCAGATATTCTCTGATCCATTGCGGTGCCTTCTCTGTTATACCTGCCTGCTCCTTCACCTCTTGTGTTTAACTGTGTTGAAAATGTCTTCTTACATCCCAAGAAAATGCAGTCTAGCCACACCTCTCTCTTGTCTTCCCGCTGTCACCTTGTAAAACCCCAGTAGGTTTGTGACAGGATTTACCTTCCCTGAAACCGTGCTGGTTGTCGTGTACAAGCTCATTCTTTTCTAGGTCCTCCACCACAGCTCCTGGCCCAGTCTCTTCACTGGTCGCTACTACGTCCACTCTCTCCCTGCTCCATGAGCTTTATCATACCTCTTCTTAAACCTATGTATGGATCCTGCCTCCACTACATCATTCTCCAGATTGTTCCACTGCATGGCAATTCTATGGCTGAAGAAATACTTCCTAACATCCCTATGACTCATCTGAGTCTTCAACTTCCAGTTGTGACCCCTTGTTTCTGTGTCCCATCTCTGAAACATTCTCTCCCTATCCATCTTGTCAATTCCTCTCAGTATTTTATATATCGTTATCATGTCTCCCCTATCCCTTCTGTCCTGTGTGTGTGTGTGTGTGTGTGTGTGTGGAGAAAAAGTTATATAATATGGGTTGTACGGTAACTTTAATAGTGTTGAGTTAGGGGGTGGGATAAGGGGGTATTAGGGGGTTAGGGGTTTGAGAGGGGGGTCGCCCTATTGTAAAACTCACCTTACAACAAAGGGAAGAGATAAAAAATGAAAGGGAACACACATAAACACAGAAAGTAAATGATAATGAGGGTGTATGTGTGTGTGTGTGTGTGTGTGTGTGTGTGTGTGTGTGTGTGAGTGTGGAGAATGGTGGTGGGGGAGTGTTTGCAGGTGTGCTAGCGGACACACACACACACACACACACACACATTCGATTGAACGCAAGAGGTTCAATAGGTGTAACACGACTCCCGCACCCATTTCTAGGTGAACACCCAGGTGACTACTACTAGGTGAACACCCAGAGAACACTACTAGGTGAGCACCCAGGTGACTACTACTAGGTGAACACCCAGAGAACACTACTAGGTGAACACCCAGGTGACTACTACTAGGTGAACACCCAGAGAACACTACTAGGTGAACACCCAGGTGACTACTACTAGGTGAACACCCAGAGAACACTACTAGGTGAACACCCAGGTGACTACTACTAGGTGAACACCCAGATAACACTACTACGTGAGCACCCAGGTGAACACAACCACGCGCCCTACAACCAGAAGGTTCCACACAGACATTCACACCTGGAGTACAATTAAAAGAGTACATAAACTGGGCACAGAGTACAGCAGCTGGTGTATCTTAAGTTCACCCACATCCATACCTATATACATACACACGCACACGTACATAGAACAGAACACACACACACACACACACACACACACACACACTCACTCACTCACTACCCCCACATCCAGCACTAACAGTTCCGCTCAGTCACTGGCCAGGTACGAACCATACCTCCGTCTCTCCTGCCTTAGTACCTGTCTAGTCGACTCCAGCCTGTCTCCTCTCCTCCCTTCTTCCCTCCTATCTTGCGTCTGTCTAGCGCACAGTGTCTTCCTGGTCTTGAAGTCAGTCTTGTCAAGACTCCCGGAAGGAGGAGAAGGTGATCACGGAGTCGCTATGACGCATCTTCAAGCAGGAATTCCTTTCTTCGTAACTCAACTCCAGTCGTCTGCTTCCAGTGCCTGCTTTTAGTTGTATTTGGCTTGACGTAGAGTTGCAAGTGGTTGTGTTGGTCTGTAGGTCTGGAGACCTGGTACGAAAGGGCCTTAAGATCTTCACAGAGTGATATCAGACCCTGCCAGTCGGACTGGACCATTCCAAGCATCAGACCTTATAGACCACTGCTGTCAGGCTTCTTGCTCTTTCACGGCTCCAGATTATTCCAGTTTGTGGCTCCACACACACCAACAATTCACGGCTCCACACACCAAGTTCGCGCCTCTACACACCAACAGTTCGCGGCTCCAGACACAAGCAGTTCGCGGCTCCAGACACAAGCAGTTCGCGGCTCCAGACACAAGCAGTTCGCGGCTCCAGACACAAGCAGTTCGCGGCTCCAGACACAAGTAGTTCGCGGCTGTAGCAACGTAATTTAAGGAAGAACGAAACACTAGTCTGACTGTATTAAATCCAGCAACTTGTGATGTAGTGTGAAAAATACAGACTTCAGGAACTATTCTGTATTTGCACCTTACGACGCACTAAACCCTTGTGGGTCATTCAGCGCTGTGTTCAACCAGTCTCTTGGTGCACCCTGGAAGGACGAGTGGTTGAGTGTGAGGTGGACCTCGACTCACGTCACTAGGAAGGTAGGTGACGTCTCTCTCGTACTGGGGAACTGGGTAAACTTAATTACGTATTGAGGAACATGATTACAATGATACATAGATGGCAATAGTTACAGCTGTGTGAGGACACCTGCCGGATGTGTGTGTGTGTGTGTGTGTGTGTGTACTCACCTAGTTGAGGTTGCAGGGGTCGAGTCCTAGCTCCTGGCCCCGCCTCTTCACGGGTCGCTACTAGGTCACTCTCCCTGAACCGTGAGCTTTATCATACCTCTGCTTACAACTATGTATGGATCCTGCCTCCTCTACATCGCTTCCCAAACTATTCCACTTCCTGACTACTCTGTGGCTGAAGAAATACTTCCTAACATCCCTGTGATTCATCTGTGTCTTCAACTTCCAACTGTGTCCCCTTGTTGCTACCTGGTTACCTGGAGGTTACCTGGAGGTTATTCCGGGGATCAACGCCCCCGCGGCCCGGTCCATGACCAGGCCTCCCGATGGATCAGGGCCTGATCAACTAGGCTGTTACTGCTGGCCGCACGCAGTCCAACGTACGAGTCACAGCCTGGCTGATCCGGCACTGACTTTAGGTATCTGTCCAGCTCTCTCTTGAAGGCAGCCAGGGGTTTATTGGCAATTCCCCTAATGCTTGATGAGAGGCTGTTGAACAGTCTTGGGCCCCGGACACTTATGGTGTTTTCCCTTAGTGTATCAATGGCGCCCCTACTTTTTATTGGGGGCATTTTGCATCGCCTGCCCAGTCTTTTACTTTCGTAGGGAGTGATTTCTGTGTGCAGATTTGGGACCATTCCTTCCAAGATTTTCCAAGTGTAGATTATGATATATCTCTCACTCCTGCGTTCCAACGAGTACAAGTCAAGTGCTTTCAAGCGTTCCCAGTAGTTAAGGTGCTTGACAGAACTTATACGTGCAGTAAAGGATCTCTGTACACTCTCTAGATCTGCGATTTCACCTGCTTTGAATGGAGATGTTAATGTACAGCAGTATTCCAGCCTAGAGAGAACAAGTGATTTGAAAAGGATCATCATAGTCTTGGCATCTCTCGTTTTGAAAGTTCTCATTATCCATCCTATCATTTTCTTTGCACGTGCGATCGTGCACTGTTGTGATCCTTGAAAGTGAGATCCTCAGACATTACTACTCCCAGGTCCCTTACATTATTTTTCCGCTCTATTGTATGGCCGGAGTCAGTAGTATACTCTGTTCTAGTTATTATCTCCTCCAGTTTTCCATAACGGAGTAGTTGGAATTTGTCCTCATTGAACATCATATTGTTTACCGTTGCCCACTGGAAAACTTTGTTTATATCTTCTTGGAGGTTAACCGCGTCCTCAGCAGATGACAGCCTCATGCAGATCCTAGTATCATCCGCAAAGGACGATACGGTGCTGTGGTGTATATCTCTGTTTATGTCTGATATGAGGATAAGGAATAAGATGGGGGCGAGTATTGTGCCTTGTGGAACAGAGCTCTTCACTATGGCAGCCTCCGATTTAACTCTGTTGACCACTACTCTTTGTGTTCGATTTGTTAGGAAGTTGAAGATCCATCTCCCCACTTTCCCAGTTATTCCTTTAGCACGTATTTTATGGGCTATTATGGCATGATCACATTTGTCAAAAGCTTTTGCAAAGTCTGTGTATATTACATCTGCATTCTGATTTTCTTCCAGTGCATCCAAGGCCATGTCATAGTGATCCAGTAGTTGTGAGAGGCAGGAGCGACCTGTCCTGAACCCATGTTGCCCTGGATTGTGCAGATTTTGGGAATCCAGGTGATTTGCAATCCTGCTTCTTAGCACTCTTTCAAAGATTTTTATGATGTGGTCAGCGCCTCCTTTCGTGTATCAGATATTCTAGCACTCCTGAGAAGCTCAGTGACTCTTCGTCGTCTTCTGCAGAGGGAGCGTCTTTCTCTCTCCAGTTTACTCCTGCTCTTCTTCTTTCTTCGGGGAATATGCCTAGAACATGCTTCGGCTGCTAGGAAGTTGATCCTTTCAAGGCACTGGTTTGGATCCATGTCATTTAAGACATCTTCCCAACATGTTTCGTTTAGGACATGGTTTACCTGGTCTCAGTTGATGCTCTTGTTGTTGAAGTTGTATTTTGTGAAGACACCTTCACAGATACATGCATTCTGCTGATCAGGACCCCTATGCATGTACGTCTGGACTTCGATTAGGTTGTGATCGGAATTAGTTGTTTTTGATATTCTTATGTCTCTTATCAGATCCTCATTCTGTCATTCTGTCTCTGTCCACCTTGTCAATTCCTCTCAGTATTTTGTATGTCGTTATCATGTGTGTGTGTGTGAAATAACAAGCCGAGCTCTTTTTGCGGGGGTTCGATTCACAGCTCCTGGCCCCGCCTCGTAAACCATAGTGGCCGGCATTATTTTCTCCTGGCCTCGCTGGTGTTATCATATGCTCGAAGATCTGTAGTTTATTCACCCTGAGATCGAACATGAAAAGATATCGTAAGGTGACTGTGGTTCAATGTGTCAGTAGGTTCCATCTACGAGGCTTCACCTATCTACCTCCGGTCTCACAGTCGTCAGGTTCACTTCCTGACTCTGCTGATATATCGTCCACCTCAGCTCTGGGACTAGCCTTGTCGCTGAGGTGTAGACTTCTATTTGTCACAACTGCCTGACCAGGTGAAGGTTCCATGCTGGTGCTGCATACTCCATCACTGCTGAGGTAACACAGTATACTGTTCTCTCAGTCTACTGACTGCTGAGTTAAGACAGTATACTGTGTGTGTGTGTGTAACCCACCTCACCCCCCACAACCCACCTCACTCCTTACAACCCACCTCACTCCTTACAACCCACCTCACCCCCCACAACCCACCTCACTCCTTACAACCCACCTCACTCCTTACAACCCACCTCACCCCCCACAACCCACCTCACTCCTTACAACCCACCTCACTCCTTACAACCCACCTCACTCCTTACAACCCACCTCACCCCCCACAACCCACCTCACTCCTTACAACCCACCTCACCCCCCACAACCCACCTCACTCCTTACAACCCACCTCATCCCCCACAACCCACCTCACTCCTTACAACCAACCTCACCCTCACAACCCACCTCAACTCCACAACCCACCTCACCCACCTGGGGTAGGGAGGGTTAACCACCCAGGATAACCTGGGGTAGGGAGGGTTAGCCACCCAGGATAACCTGGGGTAGGGAGGGTTAACCACCCAGGATAACCTGGGGTAGGGAGGATCAGCCACCCAGGATAACCTGGGGTAGGGAGGGTTAACCACCCAGGATAACCTGGGGTAGGGAGGATCAGCCACCCAGGATAACCTGGGGTAGGGAGGGTTAACCACCCAGGATAACCTGGGGTAGGGAGGATCAGCCACCCAGGATAACCTGGGGTAGGGAGGATTAACCACCCAGGATAACCTGAGGTAGGGAGGATCAGCCACCCAGGATAACCTGGGGTAGGGAGGGTTAACCACCCAGGATAACCTGGGGTAGGGAGGATCAGGCATCCAGGATAACCTGGGGTAGGGAGGGTTAACCACCCAGGATAACTCTGGATAGGGAGGATCAGCCACCCAGGATAACCTGGGGAAGGGAGGGTTAACCACCCAGGATAACCCAAGTCAGTACATCATCAAGGATTGTCTGTCTTATTTCGGTTGTGAGCCTTCAGTCTTGTCCCCCAGGATGCCACCCACACCAGTCACCTAACACCGAGGATGCCACCCACACCAGTCACCTAATACCGAGGATGCCACCCACACCAGTCACCTAACACCCAGGATGCCACCCACACCAGTCACCTAACACCCAGGATGCCACCCACACCAGTCACCTAATACCCAGGATGCCACCCACACCAGCCACCTAACACCCTGGATGCCACCCACACCAGTCACCTAACACCCAGGATGCCACCCACACCAGTCACCTAACACCCAGGATGCCACCCACACCAGTCACCTAACACCCAGGATGCCACCCACACCAGTCACCTAACACCCAGGATGCCACCCACACCAGTCACCTAACACCCTGGTAAACAGTGAACAGTGACAGCAGGTGTCAGGAGACGCGCCCAGTGTTTCCACCCGGCCGAGGACTGAACCACGGACACTCAATGTGTGAGGCCAGAGCGTTGACAACCAGGCCACGAGACCCACATCGACCTTACGAAAAGACCCAAAGATCTGCAACTAGACTAGTCCTAGAGCTGAGAGAGCTTTAATTACAAGGAGAGAGAGTAAAGAAAACGAATCTATCGAGATAACTGAGGCAGGATGTGAGAGGTCAGAATGACACGTTAGTTAACACACATATAACACACAGGAATTAGCAAATATTTCTTCAAACTTAGAGTATTAGAGACGTGGAATGAGCTAGATGAGGCAGCGGCACAGCCACATTATATATGCAGTTTTAAGAATAGGTATGAAAGGTCTCAAGATGGGTACGAAGGTCGTTGAGCAAATATGCCGGGTGATAGACTATCAAGATGGGCCAGTGCAGCAAGTTGCTGGCCCATGCTGGGTAGGTCTAAACCACACACACACACACAGACACAGACACACACACACACACACACACACACACACACACACACACACACACACACACACACACACACACACACACACACACACACACACAAACACACCACGACTAAGAACAACCTGGACAGTTGGAACAAGGTATCCTGGCTGGAATTATCCCAGCCTCCACCTGGATAACATCCGGAGTGATTATCTGTGAGGTGAGTTACGAACGCTGGTTCCCAGGACGCTGCCGGTGGTTAATGAGGCTGCGTATGTGTAATCCCGGGCGTATACGCCAGGTAGGAAGGGGGGAGGGCGTAATTAATGCCCCTGAGGGAGGGGGAGGGGGAGGGGAGGGGGAGGGGAGGGGGAGGGGGAGGGGGAGAGGATTTGGTTGTGTGGCTTGTAAACCGTTACCTTACGATGGTAAACCAGGTTGATATGTGGACCAGTACACCAGGCTG